GCTTGCTTTTGCACGACGCCGCCGCCGCCGCCGCCGGCCTCGAGAAGCTCCGGCCGCCGCCAAGTGCGCCCGCCTGGCCGTCGATTACACCGCCGCCGCCGCCGTCCCTCAGGATTGCCTCAGCGCGCCGGGGTCGCCTTGCGCACCGGTTCCGCCCGGCGAAGCTTCGCTTGCCAGCGCCCAGGGCCCCAGCTTGGTGGCCGGCTACCTTTTGCTGCCCTTGCTCGACCGGGAGCACGTTTCGAGGGCGCTCGACATCAACACCGGCCGGGAGCTGCGTTGCAAGGTAAGCCCGGGGCGCGAGCTGGGCAGCCTCTGCAGCCGCCTTCGGGGATTTGCTTGCGGGCGGGCGAGAGAGAGCGACCTTCCCCCGGGGTGGTGGGGAGACCAACAGCGCGCCGCTTCTTCGCCCTGAATGGGACTCGGTTAAAGGCGGCCGTGACGATGAATAATAGCCGGCGTTTTCAAGGGGCAGCCGGATCGGCTGTTGTGCATTGCAAAGCGAAGATCTTGACTTGCAAGGCTGAGCCTTTGGACGACGGTGTGTGTGTAGGTTTGTGTGTGTTTGTGCGAAGGGGGGGGGGAACAACGTGAAAGGAGCCTGGATAGCTCAGCAGACTAATGCATTGTAGTTTAACTCCAGCTGTCTGCAATTAGTAAGTTCGAATCTCCCCAGGCTCGAGGTTGACTCAGCCTTCCATCCTTTCTAAGGTAGGTAAATTGAGGAGCCAGTTTGTGGGGGCAATAAGCTGACTTTGTATAAAAATATACAAAAGTATGAAGGCTATTGCTTAATGCATTGTAAGCCGCCCTGAGTCTCCGGAGAAGGGCGGCATATAAATCTAATTTTTAAAAAAATTGAGAACTCGGTCTGCAAACTGCCTCTCGAACCCCACGAGTTCCCTTTTGCCTTTTGCTTTTAAAGGGGAGCTTTAAAAAGCAAAGAAAGAGAGAGGGAGAGAGAGAGAGAGAGAAGCCCAGATCCCCACTGAAGGGGGGCTTCCTTCCGAGGAAACCTCAACATCTGGAAGCCAAGAAGGCATCGATTTGTGCCGGGATCGGAACAAAAAAAATAAAATAAATAAAATAAAAAATTGAAGGTCCCGGGAAAGAAAAGAAAAGAAAAAAATACCTGCAAAAAACGCGATGCCTTTCTGAACATTCCCAAAATTGGGACCCGATTCGCTTTGCAAGCGCAGACTTTGGCCCAGAAATGGTCCCCCCCCCCCCCGGCGATATTTGGGAGGTGGATGTGGATGCACGAAGAAGCGAATCCCTGCAAGAAAAGAAGCGCATCCCGGCTGGATGCGTGCGTTGTGTGTATGTGTGTATTTTTAACTGCATCGGGAAAAGGTCCTGGGAGTAAGGAAGGGTTAAGGTTTCCTCCGTCATCCTCCTCTTGTTTTCCGCTCCCCTCCTTGCAGCCTAGTACGCAAGCAGGACTTGACTGCCGCTAGAGCTGGGGAGAGCTTTCCAAGTTTTCCATGAGGTCTCTCCTCAGCTCTTTAAATAAAACACGCACTGTGCCTCCCCTCGCTTCCTCGCCTTGCCAAGAGAGAGAAAGGCTGAAGCTGCAGCCGTGAAGTTTCCTACTGCCACCTGCCGGCTCTTTCTGCAACAAATGGGGCTGCTCCAAGCGTTAAAAGTCCACGGTGGAACTCTTGGGATTAATAACAGGAGCTGGATTAATAACAGGAACAGAGGTCATCTAGTCCAACCCCCTGCTCATGCAAGAGACCTATCCTAGGGATTTGAACCGCCGACCTGATGACCTTTCTGATCGACAGGCTCAGCATCCTTTGCCACTGAGCCACCTCCTGATGCAGGAGAGGGTGTGTGAAAATCCAAATCGGCTCATCTGCTGCCATATAATGGACTCCCTCTAAGAGCAGGTGTTCCTCCCCCCCAAACTTGACAACTTTCCTCCTCCCTCCCAAACTTGACAACTTTGAAGTCCCAATTCCCAGAATCCCCCAGCCGGCACACTTAACTTTAAGATAATGTGGACTGGCTGGGGAGTTCTGGGAGTTGAAGTCCACCAGTCTTAAAAGTTGCCAAGTATGGAGATTCTTGCTCTACAGTAGAGCAGTGTTTCCCAACCTTGACAACTTTAAAGATAGGTGGAGTTCAACTCCCAGAATTCCCCAGCCAGTCTACACATCTTAAAAAGTTACCAAAGTTAGACATGTTGGCTGCGGATTATGGGAGTTGAAGTCCACACTTCTTAAAAGTTGCCAAGGTTGGGAACCACTGCTCTAGAGAGCCTTTTGACCACTGACCTCCACTTTTAACCTCCTTCTGCTTTTCTCCTGGTTTTAGAAACAGCCTAAATATAGTTAGAACCCCGTATGCTCTTCCTTAAAGTGTAGTAGTTACTAGCAGGCGTGCCTCCGGTTAGGCTCTTAAGTTGCCAGATCGACTTCCCTGATACACCTTACAATCTACATTCTAACACAGGGCAGATAATAACAGAGAAAAGAGAAGAAAAGGAACGTAAGTGGGTGGGTAGAATTTTGTTTTGTTTTGTTTTTAAATCCCAGGCAATTCTGGGAGTTGAAGTCCACAAGTCTTAAAAGTTGCCAAGGTTGGAGACCCCTGTTTTAGAGGATTGCCTGTTCTGGCTTGCAAACTCTTTGACCTGTGGTGAGAATTGCTCTTTTCCAAGTCAGGAAAATCTGTCTCATTCTCTTGAAATATTTATCTTTTAACCTCCGCTGGGTTTGCAACCAGGCTGGTGTAGCCTAACACGGCTTTAGCATGTATGGGAGACGAAGTTCCGATAGAGAAGAGGACTTTGATGATCCCCACCCACCCAAGAGAGAAAGTAGCGAGGAAGAAAAGGCTCTGTGTGTGTGTGTGTGTGTGTGTGTGTGTGTGTGTGTGTGAAATTGTTTGGAGACCCTTTGCAATATATTTTCTCTCTGGGAGTTTGTGCCAAGTTGGAAGACTCACCATTTCCAGCTTGGCTTAGGATGTGAGTAAGCTCTTCGCAAGTCCCAGAACATGATTGCAGTCTTGCAAAATATCTGTGAATAAAGTATGAGAAGCTTTAATCTTCTTCTTCCTTGCCTAAATGTTTCAGCTCGGTTGCCTTCACCTTTGTTTGACTCACTGGGAGGTGATTGCTTTGGTGGCTTTTAATAGCTCTTCAAACTCCCCCCCCCTCAAACACACCTCCCCTTCATTTTTCCTTGACCGCTCTGGAGAAGGGAGCATTACTGTACATACGTGCTGGCAAGGAATTGCTGGTCAGTGTTTACAGTGAGTGTGCAAAGGATTCAGGGCTGGGTTTTTTTTGTTTTTTTGGTCTTCCTCGAATGCAAAAAGCAGGAATTGTAGATATTAAAAGTTTTAATGCAAAGGGGTGTGATGTTTAAGCGGTGTCTGGAGAGAGGTATCGCAAACAATACAATACAATCAGAACTACTTTCCCAGATTAGATCAGCGTTTATTTGGTATCATGTTTTCCAGTAGGCTGTTAGTTGGATACTTCTTGTCCTTGTTAGGGAATTAAGACTTTCTTTGCTATCTATGCTAAGTGTTTAACGCCAGATGCTCTACAGGCAGAAGTTCTCTCTAGCTCAGGAAGAGCCTTATGTACCTCCAGGAGGTGGTAATTTTCAAAACCTAGCAGCCCAAGACATCATGCGGATCTTGGGCCATGAGGGATGTCCTAGTTCAACAGTTTGAGAGATGGCCAAGTTGCCACCCTTTCTTTCAGCTACTTGGACTATTGTTATTCCATCATGTTCCCAAAATGAATCCCCCTTCCTCATCTAAATATCTTTGCACAGAAACCAAATGCATCTTAACTTCAGTTGCCTGGTCCAGGAAGTGTATAATTCTTCCAAAAGCTTGATTTGTCTCTCTTTTTCCATGCTGTTCTGTTTGGATCATAGCCGCATTCTTCAAAGGTGGCAGTTTCTGCGATCTCCTCTTTGGTGGGTGATTTGATGGAGAGTCTTCCTTTACTAGTAAGAACTTAGCTTAATGAATGTAGAGATATCAATAGAAGAGAATATTTGTAACTCAAGGTTTTTGGTGCTCTCTGAGCTTGGCTGTTTCTTGTAGACGTTTCATTACCCCACCAGGTAACATAATCAGTGATAGAAGGGAGTGGGGTTTCTAATAAAATCCTGGTCGTATTGGGTAATGAAATGTCTGCAAAAAAGCAGCCAAGCTCAGGAGCACCAAGGACCCCACGACTGCAGATATTTTAATCAGGATCCATCAAGGTAATCTATCATGCTGCTTGTATTCTCCAATAAAACCTTATTTAATCTCTTTTTTTCCCTTCTTGGTTCTATCTCTAGGTCTTCCCTCTCAAACACTACCAGGACAAAATCAGGCCTTACATCCAGTTACCATCACATCGAAACATCACTGGGATTGTGGAGGTCATCCTCGGAGAAACGAAGGCATATGTCTTTTTCGACAAGGACTTTGGTGACATGCATTCCTACGTTAGGAGCTGCAAGCGTCTGCCGGAGCAGGAAGCCGCTAGACTCTTCAAACAGATTGTGTCTGCAGTCGCTCACTGCCACCAGTCTGCCATTGTGCTGGGGGACCTCAAACTCAGGAAATTTGTGTTCTCTAATGAAGAAAGGTGAGCCGATGGGCCTATGTGATGGTTGGCTTTCAGGCCTCTCTCCAAAGAGGATCCTCAGACCACGTGCTCCCAATTGCCACGTCTAATGCTAAACCCGTAGCCTTTGTGTTTTTGGTTTTCGTCGCTAGGCCGAGTTTGGCCCAGGCGAGGCCAGTTGCTTACCCCTGCTGTGAATCATAGAGCAGTTCTCTGTACCAAATAGGCCTCTATAGAATGAGGAAAAGATGGTGATCCAGTCTGGGGAAACTAATACTTTTATTTATTTTTTTTGAAGGGAATAATTTATTTATTTATTTATTTTATTAGTCCAATTTATATGCTGCCCTTCTCCGTAGACTCAGGGTGGCTTACAATGCATTATAGCAATAGCCTGCATACTTTTATGTATATACCTGCTTATTAGGGCTTTCAGGCCCCCCAAGCGGTGTTGTTCTATACAAAGCTGGCTTATTGCCCCTACAATCCGGGTCCTCAATTTACCTACCTCGAAAGGATGGAAGGCTGAGTCAACCTTGAGCCTGGTGAGATTTGAACTCGCACTGATTGCAGGCAGCTGGCAGCTAAGTGCTAGCACTTAACAGCACTTAGTCCGCTGCACCACCGAGGCTCCTATATAATATCTGGTAACACCTCCCATAATGTGTAGCAAGCTACAGCCATTTTGATGATAGCCTGCGAAATTATACCCTTAACGCTGTTGGGAAGGGCAGGTAGGCAGAGCCCATTCAAGGGACAATGGGCATCCCAGGTGACCTTCCCTTTTCTTATTTCAAGCCCAACATTTTTGCCATGCTAGTAAGCGAGTGGTGTTATATAAACAGCTGCCTCACTTCTGGCTGGGATCCAAAGAACTATTACCCTGAAGAATGTATAAATGTCTCAACCTTGGCATCTTGAAGATATGTAGACTTCAACTCCCAGAATTCCCCAGTCAGCATACTCTGCCTTGATTTGCTGGCGCCCTCCAGGCCAAGGCCAGGGCAGACCTGGGTGCCATTATTCCCCCTCCTAATGCATCAGTTACTGCTATAAAAATACTAATAGGAGTTGTGGATTACTCATTGGGTGGTTGTGAGGTCAAGGAAGATAAAGCATTCAGCCCTGTAACAAAGAGCAGCCATAAAATAATGCCCCAAATGTGACACAATCTTGCCTGCCTCTTTAGATCAGCAAAACAGGCTGAACAAGTAGACAACAAATTATATACAGGTAGTCCTCGACCTGCGACTAAAAGGGAGCTGAGAATTTCCGTTGTACATTATGAGGTTCATAAGCCGAGACACTCACATAACTAATGCCAAGCTGATGACATTTTTGTGGCTGTCATTAAGTGGATGTCATGGTTGTTAAGTGAACCCGTTGTCCCCAATGTGTGTTTTGTTGCTGGAAATTAGATATAAATTCAAGTTTCTGGCCAAAAAATAATATGACCATGGGATGCTACCAACAGTTGTAATTGCACACCGGTTTACCCAACATGTCACTGCAGGGGGACGCATTAAAACTTTGAATCCAGGTTATAAGTCATTTGGTGTGGGGGGAGGTCTGTCATAACTTGGAACGGCCAGTCGTAAGTCAAAGACCACCTGTAATGGAGACTTTGCCTTTTCTATTAACCCAGCAGCTTTGTGTGGGATGATTGATCCATTCTTGGGGAATTCTGGGAGTTGAAGTCCACATAACTTCAAGCTGCAAAGATTGACAAACTGTGATCTAGTGAAATGTTGAAAGTTGAATGATTGCAATGTAGGCATAGCACAAATAATTTTTGAAATGGGACATGTTTTCTCTGTTCCTGACCTCCTTGCAGGGGTAGGTTCTAAATTTTTTTACTACCGGTTCTGTGGGTGTGGCTTATTTTGTGGGTGTGGCTTGATGGTCATGTGACCATTCTTTAGGATTTATTTATTTATTGGTTCGATTTATATGCCGCTCTTTTCCGGAGACTCAGGGCAGCTTACAATGCGTTAAGCAATAGCTTTCATACTTTTGTATAGACCTGCTTAGTAGGGCTTTCACCCCCACCCAAAGTGGTGTTCTTTTTTTATACAAAGTCAGCTTATTGCCCCCACAAACTGGGTCCTCATTTTACCTACCTCGAAAGGATGGAAGGCTGAGTCAACCTTGAGCCTGGTGAGATTTGAACTTGCAGTAATTACAGGCAGCTGGTGTTACTTAACAGTGCTTTAGTGTGCTGTGCCACCAAGGCTCATTTTACATTTAGCAGAGGTACTGGTCTACCAGGCTTTTAACTGTTTGCAGAGCTGTACCAGTATACCAGTGTATTTTTGCAGGCACTGGTCTACCCATTTATTTTTGCAGGCACCGGTATACTCATTTGTTTTTGGAGGCACCGGTCTACCACCAAACTGCCTTTTACCACTGATCAGCTGTAGGGCGGCCCTTTGAAGCCCTGTGGCAAGAGTTTAAACAGTTTTTCCTTATAGCCCATCAGCTGGGACTCAGGAGGCAGCAATAGATTGGGGGTGGGGCCAAATAAAAGGTAAGAATAACGCGGGGTGGGTGTGGGACGCGGGGGGGGCAGAATCGGTTCGGTGATGTCATATCGTCACCGCTACTGGCTCGGCGGAACTGGGCCGAACCGGGAGGAACCCACCACTGCCTCCTTGGCCTACTTTTTAGACCTTGAACCTCATGGCGCTGTTTTTAATCAGACTGCTTTCTTACGTCCACATTTTTCTTCCTCCACAAATCCCACTTAAATATCTTTCCAAAGGTTTCACAAAAAGGTTCCTAGGAGAAGCACGCGTGCTTGTTTATTTAAATTGCAATTCTTTCCGCCTCTTAAGGTCATTTTTGTGCTTTTTTTTTTTTTTAAATCTACATTCTTATTGGAGCAAATAAATACATAATGCAGGAACAAGAAGCTTGTTTGTCCCAGAGTTATGAATTGGCAGTTTGGTGCCAGATCCTGGCTTCTCAGCAGGGGCACACATGACTAGGTTAATCCTTGTCGGATGTTTGAATGTTAAGCTTTTTCACTGAGGCTCGTTTGTACACAACGTGCCATGCGTGCCCTTAAGGATCTTAAGTTGCCATATTTGCAAACAAATTCACTACAGAAACGGGGACGGGATTCTGATTGCTAAGTGAAATACCTTAATTTTCGACTAACAGACTCCAGCTGCAGGCATGAGATTGGAGGCTGTTTAAAATCCAAAATGCTTCCTCTTGATTGAGCTGAAGCTTCCCAATGGTTAATTGGCTTCCATCCAAACAATTTTTTTTTTTTAAAAAAAGAAAGAAACTAGCATAACTGGTCTATGAATGACTTTGTCCCATGCGGTTTGACTTGGATTACAAGGTTAGGTGTGCGGCGGAGTAGACATGAATTAAAGATTGATGTACTTTTAAGTGTCATGCATTTAAATGAATTGTATTTGGGCATTGACGGCAAATGAGAATTAGATAAGGAACCTGTGATGAATGGAAGGGTTGGGAGAATGGAAACTATACAGAGAGGTTACAGGCTTAGCTGGGAATGCCATCAGTGGCACAATGGGAAGGAATGAGAGTGTTTTCGGCAATTGCGTACAACCTATTTGTGTGCCCTGCTAATCTATTGTTTCAATAAAGTCTTGAGACTTTATTGAAGGTCACAAAACTATCTTGGCTACCTTCAGATTTGGAGGCCTTCAGGCCACCTTGGTTTGATGTAGAAGGAATAGCGTTGGGGTCAACTCAACACTATTCAGCCCAGATTTTCTGTTGCTAAAACGAGACAATTGCTAAGTGGGTTTTGCCCCATTTTACAACCTTTCCTGCCCCAGTTGTTAAGTGAATCACTGCAGTTGTTAAGTTAGTGACGCGGTTGTTAAGTGAATCTGACTTCCCCATGGTCTTCGCTTGTCAGTAAGGTCGCAAAAGGGGATTGCGTGACCCTGGGGCACTGCAACCGTCATAAATAGGAGTCAGTTGCCGAGCATCTGAAGTTTGATCAGGTGCCTCCAGAAGTTGTGAATGCGCCAACACTGGAAGTTTTTAAGATGATGTTGGATAACCATTTGACTGAAGTGGTGTAGGGTTTCCTGCCTAAGCAGGGGGTTGGACTAGAAGACCTCCAAGGTCCCTTCCCACTCTGTTATTATAAAAGACTTCTAAAAGACTATGGGGATGCTGCAACGGTCATAAGTGTGACAAACTGCCATAATTCATTTTTTCCCCAGTGCCGTTGTAACTTTGAACATCTCTAAACAAATGGTTGTAAATTGAGGATTACCTGTGATGCACAGCTCGACACCATCTCCCTCCTACCCCCGGTGTAAGTTTGCATTGTATTTTTAGAGAACGAGTCGTGTAGTTTGTGTTAATACAGTTTGTGTTGTTTTAGCGGAGAGCTGGCCCAGTTTATTGGCTATCTTGAAAGAATTGGGTGGTCCTTTCGATCTTGGCCCTATGGCAGGGGTGAAATGCTACTGGTTCACACCGGTTCAGACGAACCGGTGGTGGCGGTGGGTGGTTCGGAGAACCGGTAGCGGTAGCAGCAGAGCAAGGCTCCACCCACCTGCCTGGATGTCATTACTTCCTGGTTTTAACCCGTTTTTTACCCTCTGCGCCTGTGCAGAAGGCTTTGCGCATGCATAGAGGGTCCAAAATCGCATGTGACGTGCGCACTTCCGAACCGGTAGGGAAGATAAGTAGATTTCACCCCTGCCCTAAAGGCAGGTGGAGAGAAAACGTTGTGAAGTATCAATGGATGTATTTCACAGGCTTGGGTGCACGCTGCTCCACCCAAGCTCACGACTGTGCCAGCAATGCAAGGTTACTTTTCTTTGCCCTCCTCTGGAGATAAACTGTAGGACCCCTTAAAGAAAGAGTGCTATGGGCAGAGGGGAGGAAGGTAGGAATTTTTGAGATCCTCCCTTTGAAGATAACTGTAGTTGGGTCGTGTGTCAGCTGGCCCAGAATAGGTAGGAAAAAGCAGCCCATTTGAACTTGGTGGGAGTCCTGCTTTTGGCATCCAGAGCAATTTCACGCCCGATTGCGGCAATCCGTGCATTACTTTGAAGTGATGGAGCACGGTTGCTTGTGAATGCTAGGGATTGTGTCGTTAATTCTCCCTGTATGCGCGCGCGCGTTGTGTGCTCTAAAGCCTTTGGTGTTTAATTTCACTGTTTTTGGTTTGGGTGAAGGAGCAGCTGATTGTTCTGTGTTACATTAAGGAACAAATTATTCCCAGCCTAATTCTGAATTCTTGAATCTGGTAGGGGTTGCTCCTCACTATGGACTGGAGGTCCATAGATAACATTCATTTCCCTAAGGCAGGGGTCTGCAACCTTAAATACTCAAAGAGCCATATGGACCTGTTTCCCACAGAAAAGAAAACACTGGGAGCCACAAAACCTGGGTGGGCGTGGCCAACCCGATGTCACTCACTTCCACCAGTCATATGACCCCCCCTAGCCACGCCTACCCAGCCAGTCATTAGGGCAGAGAACCAGTTGTTAAAAAACACCGGGAACCACAAAATCCTTTTGACATCTCTCTCTCTCTCCTCCCTCCTTCCCTCCCTCCCTCCCTCCCTCTCTCTGTATCGCTCTATGTCTCTCTCTCTCTCCCTCTCTCTGTATCTCTCTGTCTCTGCCCTGGCTGCTTCTCCATCCCCCGCCGTCACCCTTACCTTCTCAGGCCAGGCGAGGAGTGACTGGGAGGGGAGGGCCAGCCAGTGGTGGGACAGGAAGCCACAGCAGAGGGTCCAAAGAGCCACATGCGGCTCCAGAGCCGCAGGTTGCTGACACCTGTCCTAAGAGGAGATTACATCGTCGTCTTCTTCTTGCATTTAATTCCTGTGTCTCTTAGTCCCAAACCTTTTGGGTTTTTTTTTTTTTTTTTGGGGGGGGGGTTCAGGTCTCCTGTTGCAAATTAGCACTTCTAAATAACAGTGGGATAGTGGCACATGAATGTGGGCATCCAGAGTGACAATTGGGACAAAGAGATTGCTGAATGGAAGCTTTCATGGTGAGATGGGTAGCTGGGTTTCTGCACCGTAGATGAAGCATCTGAGCTGTTCTCCTGCTTTTCAGTGCCATTAGGTGACTTTGTAACTTCCAGCCATCGGGCCCTCAACGAGGGTTTTAACAGGCGTGTGTGAATCAGTCGATCAAAGTCAAGGTTGAAAAGCCTGTAGCGAAACAATGGCTCTTTGGCAACCAGCGGGGCCTGGGGATGAGAGCAATCTATCAGAAAGTACACGTTGACCTAAAAAAAAATAAAACAACAACAGCAACTGTTTCTCCTTGCAGGGAAACAGTTGTTTGTTGGCTGCCTGTGATAAATTTGAATCACTTGCTGAAACAGCAGATTGCCCCTCCGTGCTGCTAATTTAGAAACTTAGTAATTGCACAGGGCTGATGTTGTGTGCAACGCGTTTGGTAACCCCGGAGGTGAAGCAATATTGGGCAAGAGGTTAGCCTTTAGTAAGCACAGGTGTGAAAACATGAGTCCCACCAGCCAGTTGGAGAGCAGGTAGGGCAATCTGACTCATATTTTCCATGTACAGGACCAGCTAGGAGAGGGGAAAGGGAGGAGGAAGGTCAGGGCAAGGAGGCTGGCCAGCCAATGGTGTCAGGAAAAGCGGCACCCCGCCCCACAGAAGCCGGAAAATATTTAATCCACAAATATAAAAAACAGCACTCTAGCAACGCAAGGTTTGGGGAAGAGAATTCTGCATAAAATAAAAGCTGCAAGGTTCTTTCTGTACATGTGTTGTGAATTGAGGGGTGGGGATGTTGTATAAACTGAACTAGAGAGTTACGACTATTTCAGGAACAAAAGGGATGTAAGTTTTGGCTGCAATCCCATCAGCGAGTTAAGGCTTGATGTCACCAAGACAAAACTGGCTTTCATCCAAGATCATCGTCGCCCTGTGAATGTGTCTTGCTGCAATGGAGTCTTTCTCATTTGCACATGTCATTTCCTTCACTCCTTTCTCCTTCGATGACTGACAACCCATTGACAATCCAGCCAGTGAGGTTGGATAGTGGCTCTCTTGTGGCCTCATTCATGCCTAGAAGTTTTACTGTGATTTTTTTTTCCTTTGAAGAGGTGGCCATTCTGAAGGAAGCAAATGATGGCTAATTTATTCCCTTCACCCGTGTTACAGATAGTTCTCGACTACAACCACAATTGAGCCCACAGTTTCCATTGCTAAACAAGACAGTTGCTAAATGAGTTTTGGCCCCATTTTATTTATATATTTATATATTTATTAAATTTTTATACCGCCCCCTCTCCCAAAGGACTCGGGGCGGTGAACAGCCAAGATTAAAAAACATACAATATAAACATTAAAATACATTTAAAACAAAATTAAATCCAATGGCTTTCCCCAATTTAAAACCCCTTACCCATAAAATTCACCAATAAAAATTTTTAAGCCAGCCCGGCTTGCCGAAATAGGAACGTTTTCAGAGCCCGGCGAAAGGTTCGGAGGTCCGGGATCAGTCGTATCCCTGGGGGTAGCTCATTCCAGAGGGCGGGTGCCCCCACAGAGAAGGCTCTTCCTCGGGGGGGGGGTTCGCCAGCCGACATTGCCTGACCGACGGCACCCTGAGGAGACCCTCTCTGTGGGAGCATATTGGCCGGTGGGAGGTTATCGGTGGCAGAAGGTGGTCTCATAAATAACGGGGCCCTAAGCCATGGAGCGCTTTGAAGATGAGAACCAATACCTTGAAGCGCACCCGGAAGACCACCGGAAGCCAATGCAGCTTTCTTGGCACACAGTGGTTAACGCTTCAGTGGTTAAGTTAGTAACACGGTTACTAACCGAATCTGCCTTCCCCATTGACTTCGCTTGACAAGGTTGCAAAAGGTGATTGCATGACCCTAGGACACTGCAACTGTCGTAAATACGAGTCAGTTGCCAAGTGCCTGAATTTTGATCACGTGATCCTGGGGTCATCAGTGCGAAAAACGGTCCTAAGTTTCTTTTTTTCAATGCCGCTGTAACTTTAAACGGTCACTAAACAAATAAGTTGTAAGGCAAGGACCCTGTGTCATTGAATGCATTTTTACTCATTGACCCCTGATGTCCATTGGTTTAACGTTTCAAGTGGCCCAGGTGTGTGAGCCATTGGGGTTCAAAAGCTGTGCTCCTGAGCATTTTGACGGTGGTGTTGGATCAACAATGGCTCACCCGTATAATAAAAGTGCCAATGTCCTTGAGAAGGGAACAGGCTGATGAACTTAGGTGAACTCCATAGCATGTGCCTTATTTTATCATCTTTGCAAATTAACCCTGTGTAGAAACGCTCAGTGGTGTTTTGATAATGCAAGCTGCTGTTTCAGAACAGTGGCCGACGTTGAGAGAAGTGTGGATGGGCCAGTGGTGAAATCCACTTACTTTCGCTACTGGTTTGGGTGCGCTCCCGTGGGGAAGCATGTGCACGCTATGCGCGCACCTCTTCTGTGCATGCGCAGATGGTTAAAAAACAGGACGTAATGACGTTCCAGCAGGTGGGTGGAACCTCCTGCCGCTGGCGCTACCGGTTCAGCGAACCAGATAGAACCGGAGAGGATTTCACCACTGGGATGGGCTCTGTTGCATGTATCTGTGTGAGTGTGGCGTTTACCTCTCTGGCATTCTAACTGAGGTCTTGTCCTCTTCTGTCCTCCAGGATGCAGCTGAGACTCGAAAGCCTGGAAGATACCCACATCATGAAAGGAGAGGACGACGCATTGTCGGACAAACACGGCTGCCCGGCGTACGTCAGTCCAGAAATCTTAAACACAACGGGAACCTATTCCGGGAAGTCGGCTGACGTTTGGAGCTTGGGAGTTATGCTGTACACTCTCCTAGTGGGACGGTATCCCTTTCATGACTCAGATCCTACCGCCCTCTTTTCCAAAATCCGGCGTGGACAGTTCTGCATACCGGATCACGTTTCTCCCAAAGCACGGTGTCTCATCCGCAGCCTCCTTAGGCGAGAACCCTCTGAAAGACTCACCGCGCCGGAAATTTTGCTCCATCCTTGGTTCAACGCCGTTTTGGAATCTGGGTACGCTGACCAGGATGTACGAATCTCTGATCAAGTGGTCCCGGAGCAACTGAAGGAGGACGATGATATGAGCCTCTTCTTTTGCTAGCTCCACCTACTCAACTTTGCCTCGGGGACAAGAGATGTCGCTCTTGCGTGTCAGCGTTTTTGTGTCCGTTTTTGTGTCGGGGTCCATCTTGTAGATGCATCGCTTTCCAAAAGCCTTCTTCCACTCAGGACCATTGAGATCTCAAATGCACTTAACCCACAAGGTGGAAGGCCTCTTTATCTTCTCCCACGTCCTCGAAAGTTTGAAATCTTGGCTTGCTAAATCTACGGATTCTCCCTTGGTGTCGAGGGGGGGACTGCCATCCATCCGGTGCAAGCATGCTGAACGTTTGAACTAGAATCTGGAGAAAACAGCAAGCTAATGTTGGATTTCATTGGAAAAATCAGATTGCTTTAGCTGGAATTTGCAATACAGCTAGTCCTCGACTTACAGCCATCCATTTAGTGACCGTTTATAAAGTTACAACAGCACTGGGGGGAAAAAGCGACTTATGACCAGTTGTCCCACTTACAACCATGACACCATTTCCCCACGATCACGGGATCAAAATTTGGGCACTTGACAACCGGCATATGATGGTTGCAGCATTATGTGGGTCACCATTTGTGAACTTCCCAGCCAAACAAAGTAAATTGAGCGGGGGGGGGAGCTGGATTGGCTTAACAACCGCCTAATTCACTTAACAACCTCAGTGATTCATTTAACGAGCAGGTTGTAAAATGGGGTGTAAGTCACTTAAACAACCACCTTGCTTAGTTCGCAGTGGAAATTTTGGTTTTTGGTTGTGGTCGTAAATTGAGGACTTCCTGTATAAATGTTGCAGCCTCTTGTTGCTTTCCTTCTTTTCTTCCGCTTAATAGAAAAGAGCTTTTGAGAGCTCCCTGTGCCTATTCATATCCACATGGCCTGTCTTCGCTGCCCAGTTTACTATTACAGCAATGGTAGAAGTGCCAGAGGATTCTCCTGCCTCCCATCCATCATGCAGATGACAGGATCACCAGCTGGCCTTTGATTACAGAATCTTTTTGCTGGTGATGTAAGAGCGAAATGCAGTTGTGGTTCTTACGAAGCCGGGCAGGACTAGGGGATGATCCCAGTGCTAGAACGATGGATTGGCATTTAAAAAAAAAAAAAGGAAGTGTGGAATAGGAGTCTGACAACGATTTCTAACAATTCTTTTCCCTCGCGTGGCTCTCGTATCCTTCAGGGTAGAGTCCAGCGGTTGTTTTTTGTTGGTTTCTTAGACAAGAGAAAGTCCAACTTGAACGTTTTCGACCTTCAAGGCGACAGGCTGGGTATCCAGGTCTTGCAAAACCTGTTGATCTTAGAGGCTCTATAGCCTTTTGAACAGCTGGATTTTACAGTTTGAAACCCAACTTGGTTAATCCAGATTTAAGGCTGCCGCTTAGCCTTTCAGCAGAGCTTTTGTTGAAGGGACAAATCCGGCAGCTAATCTTTTGTTATTTTGACCCGCAGGAGCCTTGATAATCTAGAATGAGTGGCCTTGAGTCTGAATAAGATTTGGGGACACTTTGGTGGTGTTTTAGGCCTGCTTTGCCACACTCGGAGAGTTTCCACAGATAACAAAAGCGTGCGTTGTGCTGCCAATCCCAAAGGTGCCAAACTGTATTTAGCTTCCAGTGTTTTGCTACTGAAAGGGTCAGAACCATTAAAACGAATATCTCTGGCTTTAGGAAAAAGACCCCAGCCTCTCTCCATACATAACAACCTCAGTGGACCTCTTAAAATGGCGTCCATGCCATCTGAGTGAAGGGGCCCTCAGTGCTGTTCTACATTCTTGAATATCCATAGGATTTTAACCCTTAAAGCAGACAGGGGTCTCCAACCCTGGCAACTTTTAAGCCTGGCAGACTTCAACTCCCAGAATTCCCCAACCAGCAAAGCAGCGCTGGCTGGGGGATTCTGGGAGTTGAAGTCCACCCATCTTCAAGCTACCAAGCTTGAGAAACATTGACTTAACACAACCGTGTGACTAACTTAACACGCTGCGGCGATTCACTTCACAACCGTGGCAAGAAAAGTTGTAAAATGGGGGGGGGGACTCAGTGTCTCGCTTAGCAGCAGAAAAATTTGGGGCTCGGCTGTGGTAATCAGGCAAGGGACTGCCTGTATTTGATAGAAAAGGTGAAACCAATTTTCTACTTCTTCCATGACTCAGCAGCCAAACAGTTGTGGATGTGCATGTGACTTGACAATAATGCACTGTTTATGTTGGTGTTTTTAAGTACAAGTGTTAGCCAAGGGAGGATCTGTGTATGCTTACCTAGGTGCCGTTCTCACCCTCTGACATCACCAGCAAAAAGGGCTTCCAGGAAACAGAGGAAAAAGATTTCTATCCAACTCTGGTTTTGGTCCCTGCCCATCCCAAGTATGCCAATCCAAGACCAGGGGCAACTTTAAGTCGGCAACTTTAAGACTTGTGGACTTCAACTCCCAGAATTAGTCTAGTGAAGAGAAGGATCAGGGGAGACATGTTAGCACTGTTTCAATATTTGAGGGGCTGCCACAGAGAGGAAGGGGGGGGGGTCAAGCTATTTCCCAAAGCACCTGAAAGGCCAGATAAAGAATAATGGATGGAAACTGACCAAGGAGAGATTCAACCTAGAAATAAGGAGAAACTTTCTGACAGTGAGAACAATCAACCGATGGAACAGAAGTTGCCTTCGGAAGTTGTGGGAGCTTCATCACTGGAGGCTTTCAAGAAGAGATTGGACTGCCATTTGTCAGAAATGGTGTAGGGTCTCCTGCTTGGGCGGGGGGTTGGACTAGATGGCCTACAAGGTCCCTTCCAACTCTGTTAATCTATTTTGTCTATCTGTCTGAATTCCTCAGTCATCCAGCCGTTTTTGCTGGCTATATCAGAGGGTGAAAACGGCACCTTGGTAAACATGGCCGGCTGAGGAATTCTGGGTCACGAAGTCCACACGTCTTAAAAGTTGCCGAGTTTGGAGACCCCTCTCTGCCCAAGACCACACCCCATCCGTGCACCTCCTGAGAATCCAGTCATTCCAGATACACTTTTCAAAGCTCAGGTCATGGCTTTTGGATGCCAAATGTTAGCGGAAGCCGTCAATTTTAAGCATGCTTTCCCAAGCAGTCATCTGAAAGGGCCTGGTTTGGTTCCCTTGTATCTGTTGGGTGTCGCTCTGTAAGCAGCCTCAACATCCGAATACAAAACACATCAGCCAAGGGTGGGGTGGCCTAACCTGAGAGTCAAAGATAAGCTGTATCTCGTTGTGTAGACTGAAAGGCAGTTGTGTTTTGGCTTTTTGTGCAAGTTGCGTGATGCAATACCCTGGCTCCCTCGAGTTCTCTTCTTGCCCAGTAGCTGAACCAGGAAGCAATACCAGCATGTTTTCCTTTTGACTTGCCAACTCTAATCTATAAAACTCTCCTTCCTTCCATCCTTCTGTCTTCTGCATTTTCGTTGCTTTCTGGCTGTAAGAGGTGGTCCTATTTTAATTTGTGATCCATAATTGATGCATTTTGCATAAGCATTAACTTTCTGAGTCAGATAATGAAGTCCTTGACATCGGGGTCCATTCCAGTTAAGTGTAAAAACAGGCGCTCGTTTTTCTCTGAGTTGTAGCTCCTCCAGACAGGAAAATTGAAAGAAGCTTGTGATAATTGGAAGATAAGTTGGTTTCTTTTTGCTAATCACAGTCCAAAAAAAAAAAAAAAAAGCTGAATCTGCTGTGGGCAGGCTTGTGAGTATGTCTGTGCAGAATCCACAAAGAAAGTGTTTTTGATGGGAAAGCACTTAGCTTATTTTTCTAAAACTGTCTTGGGGGGGGTAGGCTAGGAGTAAGAATCAGTAGTAAAACTACAACTCCCAGTATGACTGTTGGGGAGGGATGCTGGGAATTGTAGTTTAGCTCGACGTGAAAGGCCTTAGATGCTGGATAAGAACACACTGCAGACTTACATAGCTTTATCTTTCAAGGTACAATGGGAAATGTAGTTCTGTGAAGCCATTGCTGATAATAAGCCACGTACAATGACCGCAATAGCCATAGTTTCTTATAGACAGAGCTGAAAAAGTGAGGTTTTAAAATCTCATGCGATAACTATTTCAAGGCTTTTGCAAAAAATAATAAATAAATAAAAGGGCTCCCAAGATTCAGTGTGCTTTCTCTCCTGTGTACGTCTCATGCAGTGTTTTGTCACCGAGTTCTATTTTTCTAATTTAATAACTGGTGCGTGTGCCCTAAATAAATCCGAGTTAGCAAAGAGCAGATTAAATGTGAATGATGGCTGGCAATACTAACTTGATAAATCAAGATAATTAGAGGTGAAAAGTTGTTGACCTTAATTGCACTAAGACTCTTGTGATTTGCTTTAATATATTTGTATCTGTGATACAGGTTTTTTTTTTTTTTTTAAATATCCTTGGACCTGCCTAGAACTCTGTATATTTTGGTAGGTGGAAAGTTAATAACACTGTTGAAACTCTGTAAATATGTACATATTTTGAGGATTATCATGACGAAAGTTGTAAAATTCCTGTACAAAAAAACTTTAATAAATCTGGTTTCATAACAAATTGTTTGCCTCCTTTGAAGCTTTGTGGGATTTCCTCATTTTTGATCCTGCCACAATCTCGCAACACTTGGCACTTAAAATGTCCCAGTGAAAACAAATACAACAGAGTTAAAAAAAACACAACAGCGAATTGCAAAATCAAAACTGGAAGGGAGTAGAGAAAAATGATAACAACAGGTGGTGTAGATGATGTTATTGAAACAACTTCAAAAAAAAAAAAAGCTCCGTTTTTAATAACTTTCTAAAGTTTCTAGGGAGGGGCTGCTCTGGTTTCAAGGAAGTCCTATTCCATCACTGGTGCTACTCCAAAAAAGCAACATCTTCAAGTTTGCAGGATCCAATCTGAATCACCAGATTCAGAGGTTTATTCTTCACAAGCTTTTGGACTCATGCTGGAGCCCATCCTCCAGGAACTTTTCTCTCTCTCCAGAATGTGTCATTCTAGAGCAGGGGTCTCCAACCTTGGCAACTTTTAAGACTTGTGGACTTCAACTCCCAGAATTCCTCAGCCAGCAAAGCTCAGCCAACAAAGCAAAGCTGGCTGAGGAATTCTGGGAGTTGAAGTCCACAAGTCTTAAAGTTGCCAAGGTTGGAGACCCCTGTTCTAGAGAGAGAGAAGTTCCCTGAGGTGGTGCTCCTCCAGCACAAGTGTCATTCTGGAGAGGAGTTCCCTGAGGATGGGCTCCTACATGAGTCCTGAAAGCTTGGAAAAATAAATAAGGATTAGAATAAACCTCTGGTTCTGGATGCGGTGGCTCAGTGGCTAAGACACTGAGCTTGTCGATCAGAAAGGTCGGTGGTTCGAATCCCTAGCGCTGCGTAACCGAGTGAGCTTCCGTTACTTGTCCTAGCTTCTGCCAACCCTAGCAGTTCGAAAGCATGTAAAAATGCAAGTAGAAAAATAGGGACCACCTTGGTGGGAAGGTAACAGCGTTCCGTGCGCCTTCACCGTTTAGTCATGCCGGCCACATGACCACGGAGACGTCTTCGGACAGCACTGGCTCTTTGGCTTAGAAACGGAGATGAGCACTGCCCCCTAGAGTCGAGAACGACTAGCACGTATGTGCGAGGGGAACCTTTACCTTTACTTGGTTCTGGTGACTGACTCCAATTGGATCCTGCAACATTAGCCTGGGACACATATATCTGCCTTCATTAGTGAGAGATATGGGCAGCCCATGCCTTTGAACAGTTGTAATTTGGGCCTACCTCTAGAAAGCTGGACCAACAAGGAGTCCGTCCTTATATGATCTACCAGGCCAGGTGGAATTTAGTTAGAGAAGGCCGTCTCAGAGCTACCCTAGAGTTTTGTAAGTTGGCACAACTTAAATTGGATTCTGGTAACCAAGGCAGGACCGACACTATAAGAATGATATATTCCCATCATTCTGGATTAGTTTTAACTTCCTAAGAGTCTTTAAAAGCAGCCTCATGCAAAGGACATTACAATAATCTATATGGGCAGTGATGAAAGCATGAGTTGCATTCACAAGGACGTTTTGCACCAAGAAAGGATGCAGATGGGTAAATGCCTCCAACCAGAAAGATGTTCCACACCATTTCCTCCAGTTATAAGCCTGCTGCTGGGTAGCTTGTGCCTGTCCATCCATGGATCAACTAACACCAGAGGAAAACAGATAGAAGTTCCATATTTACTTGGGTTCCATTATAACTTGGTTTTTTTTCTTCCACCCAAACCTTCATAGTCTTCAGGATGAATATCATCTTTCTCTCAACAACTTGGAGTAGTGACGTAGAGTTCTTGCTGAAGAACTGTACATCAGCAACAGTAATTTCTCTCCCACCCCGCTCTCCATCTAATCTTGTTCCAGTCCTGTTAATCCAGGGGTGTCAAACTCTATTTCATAGAGCCGGGAGGTGACAAGGGCGTGAGTGACCGTGCCTTGTGCACGGTCACTCATGC